ATATTCATGATATAAAAGTTCTGCTTCCTTGCAGAGCTTTCTTTTTATACACAGAAAATTTTTGAAGTCAGAGGTACACAAACAATTGTCACCTACTTTCACATCCTCCATCTAAAGCAGTAACATACGAGTACTTAACACATCTACTATGTGTTCTGTTTCAGCAACGAAGATTAGCTAGAGACGGATGTACTCAAAAAATGCCGAAGGGTGCAACACTTCAGTTGATGCGTTTAGATTCATTCTATCCTTTGGCTGCTCTTTATTTGTTCATTTGATTGCGCCTGTGCTTAAAGGACGCGCCCGATGTGAGTTGATAAGCTTGCTTAGTCTTTTATTGAATATGGTGAAGTGCGGTTATAACACAGTTATTCAAGGATATTAGCATATATTTCTTGAAATATATATAGAAATTTTGCTATAAAGTAGTGGGAACTAAAAATAAAACAGATTCCGTGATGATATTTAATAATTATATTTAATTATGTGTATTATGAAGAAGAAGGAAAGCATTTATAATGGTCAAAATCGATTTGAACTTCCAAAGTAGTTATACATAACAAAGTGAATCGTTCGTCGGCCGCTTAAATCATAAACCACATATACCTAACTTCTACATATGCATGCATATATTAACAAACTAATGTTTGGCGAATAAAAATTATGTAAATTTATCGGAGTGAAAATTTTGTTTACAGTGTTTTTTGCCTTTAATAATTATTTAACAATGAAAAATGAAAAATGAATGACTACGTAATACTAGCGTAGTGAATGTATGTATATACATATATGTATGTACAAGAAAATATACATATATGCAGCAGATCACACATATATATGTAAGTTCTCAATTTCTACACTACGTCCGTATTTTAACGACCAGTCAATTRGTGAAAAAATTAAATAATAAACATAAATACAAGGACTTTCTGCTGTATAAAAATATAATTTAAAGTATACTAATGTACATATATTCGTACGAGTAGTTTTTGTGTACATTATCCGAAGTGCATTTTTTCGTGTGGGCCACATAAGCAAAAATGGAATATTTTATATCTAACCAAGATAATCTACTTTATGTATGTATGTACATACATTTTCTCAATCTATATGTATTACATAAATGAAGAGCATAGATGCTGAAGCATATATAAGATGTTGTATGTGTGTGAGTACATATGACCGTATTTATGAAGCACGTGATGTGAAAAGATACACAGTAAAGTGTGTATTTGGGTATTATATAAATAACATCTAACTGTTAACCGTTTCATACCAAGGTTGATAACCATTATCAAAAGTGTGCAATACAAACTAAATGCTTCGGTGTTACTTATTTTTAACTTTGGATGATTGGGGATTGAAGGTAATGAGTAAATGTTCCTCTAAGAGGTTTAAAAGAAAACATTTATGAAAATACTAAGAGCATAAAACGTTTACGGTGGATTCTTTTTTATTTATTTTAATTATGGAACATGCAACATAATAAGAAATTAAAAGTCAGTGGTCTATGATTTACTCCAGATGTACATATGTGCAGCTGCTTGTGCTTTATTAATGCAATTAGGTATAATTTAAAAGGCAGTGGCGAAGAATATGCGTTTGTGTATCTTAAAGTATTCTTTAAATAATGAAATTATAAGTATATACACCGGTGGCACACTAATCAGCACACTCTTACATATTCCAATAGTATTGCGTGAAAATTGAAGATATTTTAGGAAATATTTTTTTTGCATATTAATACCTTGTTATTTTGCCGTTATAAATCACACATAAGTGAGTTTCAAAGAAGTATACCTTTATTTTAATTTAAGCTGGCTTTTTAATTAGAACACCCTGACGTTAGAAAAGTTTTAGTAAATCGTTTGCGTTTAAGGTTATGATTTTTTTGCGAGATTAGCTGTTAGTAAAATTTGTAACAGACAGCAGTGTGAAAAATTTAAAATGGGAGCAAATGCTCCAGTGAAGAGGAAAGATTCCTAATATGAAACATGTTCCAGGACGGAAAAATATTAGTGAAATTGCTCGGCATGCGCTTAAAGATCCTTCTGCAACTTCCTCATAAATACGAGCTTCAATGCACGAAGAATATGGCGAAAACATTGGCAGTAGAACTTTTAGACAGCGACTTTTGGAAAACAAGCTTCGGGGATTCCATAGTTAAAAAAAACACACATAGTTAAAAATTACACACATTAATCGAAAGGCGCGATTGGAATTTGCCAGGTTGCATATTGGTTTTCCTCTTTCTTTTTGGAATTCTGTAGTTTGGAGCGGCAAATATAAATTCAATTTACATGGGCCTGATTAAAGAACTTATGTGCGACGCCCCCAAAATAAATAATTGGACCCAAAGTATACAAGGAAGACGGTTAAGTTCGGCGGACGAAGTGTTATGGTGTGGCGTTGCTTTACGAAGCATAGTGTTGATCCTATAGTGCAGATAACAGGCAAGCTAGATTCTGTAGCATATCGTAATTTGCTTGATAATCATCTACCGTGATATCACGGACCGTTTTGTGGAAGACTTACCGTTATCTTTGTACATTTTGGCAGTTTTCCAACAGGACAATATGTCATAAGTCAGGGTCTCTGATTCGGTGGCTTTAAAATCAGGCAATTCCAATGCTGAACTTATTTGTTTTCCTTGAACATTATTTAAATTGCTGCATACCTATACTTCAATTCCTTCCGATATTTTCCTGTTTTTCTTTAATTCTCTGTTAATCTTAATGCACATGCCCTGTATAATAACTCCACGACTAACCTCCTCCCGCCCCATCTCTGCAAACGTGTGAAATTAGACGAGTCATGAAAGGCAAGATAGTTTTTTAAGCGTCGAGATCAATATACATATATAATATAGTCTTTTTAATTTCAAAAATGGGGTCAGATAAATCAAATGTGCAGGAATAAGAATTAAAATCTTGATATGGGATGATATGATGAAACGGGATGGCTCCACCCTCACTGCCTCGAAAAGCGAACCGGGATATTAAATTTAACTTTAGACAGGTGAAAAGAGTTGCAAACTATTCTGTGACCAAAAAATAAGGTGACATTTGAATTTAAACTGCGCGCGTCGCAGGATTTGTAGAATTATTTTTTAGGTTGGTAGTACTGTCAGTCACATTTATGTCAAATTTCATGTCAAAATATTCATTACTGTTTGAGATACATACGTGTCATTTTGTGAGCTGCTAAAAGTGGGTTTTTCGTTTTTTGCGATGTCGAAATTTGTTGAGCAAAGAATTTGCAATAAATGATCATTTCGGCAAAAACTCAACCCATATCGTTCCGCAACCACCGTAGTCACCTGATCTGGCGCCGTGCGACTTATGGCTGTTCACCAAGCTCAAAAGACCGCCCCGAGAACACCGTTTTTATACGATATTCAAGCCGCAGCGAAGACGGAACTGAAAGTCATCCSGGATAGTGACTACAACCAGTGTTTCGAAGATTGCAAAACCCGTTGGTTTAATGTACTACATCTAGTGGGATTACTTTGAAGGGGATGAAATTGATTTGGAAGAATAAATAAAGAATTTTCAAAGTAAATACAATGTCACCTTATTTTTTGGGCACATGTAGATAGGTTGATATGTTTTAAACGACTAGTGGATGAAGGTAGACTTCACTTACGATCGCATCAGAAATGCTCTAAGGCAACAGGTAAAAAATGTTTCATATGCTAAAATGATTTCAAGTAGAGAATATAAATCATATACCCGACTTTGATAGTTGATTGGATCTAGTAGACGTATCGTTTTTTTATTTTTGAAATAGCTTGAAATGCTGCTAAAATAACTTAAGATCGAATATTCTTTACGCCATACAAGATCACAAATAAAACACTAAACAAGTAAAGAAGGTTCTGGCGTAACCGAAAATTTGATTCTCTTGCACCTTGCAAGGTTGGAAAAAAATCATATTAAAAAACTATTATACTCTTTAGCAACATGTTGCAAGAGAATAAAAATGTTGCGAAAGAATTCAACATTCATTATTCGACGAAAATTACATTAAAATCATGCGGTTTTCAATATTTAGAGTTTGCCAAGCCATAGCAACTGTAATAAATTATATACATAATTGAGTTTTATTAAGATATGTATTTTTTTAATGTTACGAACTATTAAAATGGGTTGTAGTAATATTATAAATTTCCATTACTTCATGAACTTTTACTAATTTATGGACTTTTATGCGTTTTATTTTCTGTGTTCATGTAAAACCACCAGTTTTAAATACGTATCCATAATTGTAAGCCTATATTTACAGGAAAATGTTATTCCGAGATTATAATGGAAGTTGTAAGCTTACATTTACTTTCAGTTTCATCACATATGTACATATGCATGTATCTCCTACTTGAACCAGGACGAAAGCTCATTTCTATGATATAAAATCGTGATTCTTTATTAGATGAAATGTGGCTTCTGCCATTCCTTACGCAAACTACATATTTAAATATACATACATGCATATAAAAAACATTTTTTATTATATACCAATGTATGGTATGGACTATACATAAAAACTTGTCCGCTTCCCGTCATTTCTTACGATTAATGAGGAGGTGTGAAAACTGTCAACAGCATTGCGCTATCAATTCATACTTAATGCATTTAATACCAACTGCTTATAAAAAATATTCAGTAAACATTCTCGGTCGTGTAATTTTAACATATATACATTCCTATGTACGTACATACTATACGTACTTACGATTTATACTTAAACAAATATGAATGATTACAAGCAGACATGATATCATTTTCTATAAGATAATTAATCGCTGAGGGATGGCATTTTATTATTAATAAGTTTTGGTAATTTGACACTGAATAGAAATAAACGAAACATCTGATAAGGTTCGAGCAATTTAAGGTTGTTTACAGATTAGCACAATTTATCTTTTTCTATCGATAACATATGTTATTGTTCTTTTAGCTTTTGTCATGCTTGCTATTAAAGGAAAGGCTATTTTAAATCATTTTAAAATTTGCTTTATAACATAGAACAACTACGCAATAGAGTCGACTAGAAGTGGAAAGGAACTAATTTTATTGTATTATTAAGAATGAAATTTCCATTGGTGCTATTGCATTACTTGATAATTTGTTTGACTTTAGTTTTGGCAGCAGTCGTTCCAGGTGATTTGAAATTACAATCCTAGTATGGGAATAATAAAGAAATAATTTATAAATTCTCGTAGAAGAATGTGAAAAAACCTCCAATGAAGCAATATCAATGCATATAAACTCCAGTACAACAAAAACACAGAGAACCACGTCTTGTCCCGCGCTCGATAACGCAGACTCATCAACCCAAACCCAATTGATTTATCGTCTTACCAATCCATGTCGTTTTGATCGATTTGACAGACCATTTCCAGTACTTGGAAAAAACTCTGTAGCTGACCAGCCAACAAATATTAATGTGCGGATTTATATTACTGATATAAAAATAATCGATACCAATGACATGCAGTGTAAAATATTTGGGTTTCTACAGCTTCGTTATATGGACCAAAGATTGGCGTTTGGAGAGTATGCACCAAAACGTTTGCAACCGGTATTCGGTGATTCACAACTGCTGGATCGAATTTGGGTTCCACATATAATATTTGTCAATGAGCAAAATACAGCTATCTTGGAAACCAGTAAGAAAGATATTTTAATTATGGTAATGCCAGATGGAGTGTTGAGTATCTCCACCCGAATAGAAGCATCACTATCTTGTTCGGTTGCATTAAATAAATTTCCTTTTGATGATCAAAAATGCTCTGCGATTATAGAAAGTTGGTTGTACAATTCTTCCGAAGTAATATTGCACTGGGATGAGGAAGATTCGATCGAAATTGATTCAAATATACAGCTAATAGATTATGACTTAGAATATTCTTGGCACAATGAAACAATCTTCCAAACCAGGAAAGGAGACCTGCGATATACGTTACTGGGTGGCAATTATAGTTCGATAAGTTTTACTGTGTACTTAACGCGCGATTCGTTGTTTTATACATTTGATTATTTTTTACCTTCCATTATGCTTGTTGCAATTTCTTGGGTCTCATTTTGGCTTCAAGCGGATCAAACACCTGCACGTACGACATTAGGCACAAGTACCATGTTGTCGCTCTTCACGTTAACTGCTAACTACGAGAAAAAATTCGAAACAAAAAACCATGCACAGTTCTTTGAAGTTTGGTTTTTCGGTTGTACGTTCTTTATATTTGGTAGCCTTATGGAATTTGCTTTTGTAAATACTATATGGCGCCGAAACAAATGCTTGAGTCTGAAGAAAGTCAATAGCAAATATATTTTCAAGTCGACTTTATCCCCAAAAGTTATACCACAAAGTAAGATCTATGATTGTGAGACAGACGGTCGCATACACTTCAATAATGGCAATATTTGTAATCAGTCAAACAATAAAGGGCATATCACTGTTTTAGAAGCCGATACAAATTTAAGTGCAGAACATCAAGAGGAAAAAACTAGCAATGATTCATGGGCGACGATGACACCTCATGAAGTTTCACTTTGGGTAGACCGGAAAGCAAGATTTGTGTTTCCATTATTGTTTATTATATTTAATGCCATTTATTGGACATTCGTCTATTGTTTGTAGTTCGGCAAAACGAAATAACAGTTAATATTAATTTACAAATCTTCAATACAAATAATTGAGATTTAATTTTAAAATTATAAATTGTTAATACAAAAAAAAAAAATAAATAAATAAATAAAACTTAATTTATCAAAATGACGATAATAGACACTTATTGACAATTATATGTGAACTCCTTTTTATACGGTTTGGTTGAATCAAATATGTACAATTATATATGTAACATATATAAAAAAAAAACCTTGTGAAAGAAAATTCAATTTTATACAAACCGTTTCGATTTTCTTTCGAAACAAAAGCATGCAAGAATCGCATAGTGCAAAAATACAGTTTTTGCATGTAGACCCTTTTATCAAAGGATCATACATTTTGTTGCAGCGCTGACATACAACATAAATATTAAACCAAACTTAACAAGCAACAAATAAAGGAATTTTAATTTGGTTTCACAACAATTCTAGCTTTAGACTAATTTAAAACACCGAATCCATAATACACTTAAGAAATAAAAAAGGTCCATGCATGAACTTGATTTTGAACGGTCAGTTTGAGGTGTTTTTCTCTTAAAATAAAAAGTTTCCTTACAAAAATTTGATATTGATCGTACAGTACAGTACGGCGGATTTGAGAGATAACGAAGGCTTTTCCGTATATGCATTCCGTTATGGTCTTTATATGTTGGTTATTGTAATATAAATTAAAACTAACGTCCAATTATTTGTCTTTTCGGAAACAATAGCTGAATGATTTTTCGTTTAAAACTTTTCAGCTGTTTAATTAACTATCAAATCTTAAATTTTAAGGGTGGAAAACCCCGGTTAAATTCCACTAAAAATAGCAAAAATCGGTTTGTTGGTCTGAAGTTGAATTGCTTTAATTTCAATTCAACTGAGTATAGTTGAAAACTGTAACTGCAACCATTCAGGAACATTTAAAGTGTCTCGTTCTACGTAATCTACTGTGTCCAGGGAACAACTGTTGGTTATTTATTACTTAATAGTTTCATATAGAATTTGTATTAAACGTGTACACTGTCTGTGACTGATAACAAGTGCGCATTATAAGGACCTGTATAACGCTCTGACATGAATGGACCAATTTGGACTTAAATATCCGCGAAAAGTATCCAATAAAGTTGAATTAGTTTGTTTTGGCTAGAAGATTTGCGCGTTCTTGGTATATCTATAGCTATCCAAAAGCCCACCAATCAGGCTAAATACATGTTAATAGCTATAGTCACTTGCACATTGAAATGCACTGCTTCTATATCCACTATAGAGCTTTCGTCAAAGTTATGAACAATTTTCATTCATTCATAACTTACTGACCTTGTATTTTGTATTTGGCAGACTGAATATTACTAAAGATTCTATCCGTCTTCTTACTTTTTTTCATAGTATAAAAGTAGCTAACAAACTAAAGTGCTTATCTTTATTCCGATCCCTTTCGGTTTGTATACACAAAAGTAATAATATTAAAAAGGGGCTTCGTATTTTTTGTTATCTTTACGATTCAACTATGATATGTCTAAGTTCTTAATGAAGCAATATGTAAGAGGCTTAAATACCAATTACATCTACTAAAAGGTACTAGCGGTTAAAATAAATTATTTGGTATACACCACAATTATTAAAATGGACTAATATATGTAAGATGATAAGTAAGATGACAAAAATGTTGGGGCCTGAACTGATGTGCTGCTCATAAGAAAATGCTGTCATGAACCTAAACAAAACTAATGCAGTCATGAACCTAAACGAAACTTCAATCCTACTTTCCACTCCAAGCAAAGTTTATTTGACAGCTAAATGATTTTTAAATAATATTTGTTGCAGATTCATAAGTAATTGAGGAAACATTTTCTTATACGGGCTGAGTTTACAACCATACAACTGAACTTCAAAACTTCAACCAAAATGCAGTTGCATTGAAAACGATGACAGGAGCATAAGTCACCTTGAATATTGTTTTGTTTTCATAACATCAAATGAATCCTTAAGTCCATGCAAATTAAAAAGACGGAAATTTCATAGCAAAATTAGAATTATTTATTATATGTATGCATTAATATTATTGTAACAAATTGAAAGCATGTAATTTTGTCAATCATAAGATTATCTACTGTTATAAATTGATAATATTTAATGAAGTCTCTAGAGTAGATCATTCTTAATTTTAAACAATTATATTAATAGTTGGATTATATTCTTGGTCGAGCTCAAATAGATTCGATAGTTTTCCAATACTACTATAATAATCGGTGGTAACAGGACTGTCACTCCGTTTTAAAGAAGTTACTGCATTAATATTTCCTGTGATCTTTTTGGTTACTAACGTGTATCGTATACGTGAACCAATGTTCAACCGAGAAATAACTCACATATTAAGACATTGAGGGTATATCTAGAGAATTTTGAAGTACTATTTTAAAGTAGACGTCTTCATTTTCATTACTAACATTAACGATAGAATTACATGCTTCGCATCGCCTGGCAACAGTGTTCTGGAAATTAATTTCGCCATCTCTTTCATTTGTGGCTGCTATTGTGAAGCTATTACTGAGAAAGTTATGATACAAGGCATATCTTTTTTATTTTCAGGAAAACTACTTTCAATTTGTGAATTGCAGTACAGAAATTGTCTGGCAATTTAATGCATTGCTTATTTGGTTGCAGTTCTATTCTATCATTCCCAATATCTAGCAATTGTTCAGAAAATGTTGTTCAATTATATAGTTTCAATACTTCACCATAAGAAGGATTGTTTATACTTCCGTTAATCTTTTTGGACTAACAAGCTCGTTTAAAACTTGCAATGTTCTGTGCAATGCGTCGATAATATTTCTTAACTATGATGCACTAATCTCAAATTATTATTGAACTTTTTGTCAATTTTGTGTTTACTTTGCGCTTAGTGATGAGCGATATTGCGATTTTTCTATATCTCTGATCTCAGTGATTGCTATTTTTAATTCAATGAAAATATGAAATCTTTTGTACTCTATTTTTATCTTTGAAATTCTTCCCATACGCTTTCAAAATTTAAAATTTAAATTCCTTAAGCAGTTACAGCTTCTGATTACTTCTTAAAACGACTAAACTTATATAAATTATACATGTTTTTAACATTCGTATTTAAAAATATTATCATTTGTAGACGACGTAGGAAATATTGGGCGGGTAGTTCCACTGCAGATGCCTATTTTTGACATGTTTCATTAATTTATTAAATTTGTTAACGGTGTTTTGAATGAAATTTTTAATTTAAAAATATTCCATTTTGCATGTATGTACATATGTACCGCTTCCAACATCTGCCATACTTCACTTATTTTCCACGATAAATTTCCTGTCACTATTAAAAAGAGCGTTACTTAAGAGTTAATCTGCTACTACTTTTCCATATTTAAATCTATTAAAACTAAAGGAAAACTGAAGCTTAAGGTTCCAGAAAAAAAAAATTACATTTTGCTCCGGAGCACAATTGAGGCTATCTCTGATTGCTGATTTTCATTTTAAAAATTTGCTTGGAACTTTGCATCGATTCATACTGCCCGGAAGTTCACGTCTGGGATTAAAGGAAGGAACGTGGATTTAACGCGGTGGACCTCTCTCATCTGGCATAAATGTAATAGAAAAGGTGTGTCCACTTGCAAGAAATTAGTTGAAACTTAGACATAATTTTGCAATATTGTACGAATCCTTACCCCATTACATCTTTGATATTATTCTCAACGACGGGATCGACTCGTTATTAAAATAATATACAAATGTTTGTTAATTTCGAAAAAAATTTAAAAAGTATGTGAAGCAGTAATTGTTGTTCTATTTAGTAGAAAATAGTTTCGTTAAAATCGATAATACTTTTAGAATTGTAACATCTTTTGTTTTGATAGAAATGGTTTGGTACATTTGCAACCTTAAATGTACCGACCTGATAAAGTGCACTGTATGTATGTACATGTGTATAGAAAGTTATAATAGAAGTTTGGTTCGTGTATCTAAAATATATGTATTTGAATGTTTCTTATTTTGTTACAGGAGCGGTTCATTCATCATTGTAAGAGGCCTTATGTATAAAAACTGTGCACTATTATATGTTGCAGAAGAAATAAGTAACTGCCAATTATTGTAGCTTCACCACAAAACTGTTTGCCTGTACAACATATGTATTTGGTTTGCAGAATCAATTTATTTCGGCGAAATTGCCGTTTAATAATTAAATTTAATATTGTTATGTTGAACTTGCATTCATGTCACAATGAAATTGAGTGTGAGTGCGTATCGCGCGCACGCATCAGCACACAAAAAAATTCTTTCGAGCGGTTACCATTCGCAACTCAACTACGGCAGCACAGGTGCGGCGGTTTCTTCTTCTGCTGTCTTACAAATGGTATGTGAACACACTTACTAAATACCTTTTCATAGAATGTATGTAACTATAGTTTTATATTGTTTGTTGCAGGCGGACCCGGCCGAAAACGCAATGTCAGTCTCCAAAGATCGCCATGGAATAGAATGCAATAGTGACACAGATATCGTGAGTCCATCTGGTACGAGTAGCTCCGAGCGGGAACGAACTGGTACTATAAGAAAAACGCAACAACATGGCAGTATCAATGAGAATGATAGTAATACTCATCATTCCAACTTTAAAAGTTCCACACAAAAGTAAGTAAATCAAATCATGGATGGGTAGTTATAATAATGGGTATAGTCACTGAATGCTTTTCGAACGATGAATTTGTCAATACGATTGAAAATTACACTGGAAGTATTGAAATCATATGGAATTTTCATAGATGTTATGTAATAAAATATCTATGAAATCTATTGTTCTGATTGGTGCAGAGGCTTGGACGATGACAACAACTGATCAGTCGACGTGGCGAGTTTTCGAGAGAAAGGTTCTGCGAAAGATTTATGGTCCTTTGCGCGTTGGCCACGGCGAATATCGCATTCGATGGAATGATCAGCTGTATGAGATACACGATGACATTGACATAGTTCAGCGAATTATCCGAATCTCCAGTTCTGAAAGTATTTGACGCTGTACTCGCCGGGGGAAGCGGGCCACAGAGCAAGAGGAAGACCCCCACTCCGTTGGAAGGACCAGGTGGAGTAGCACCTAGCTTCGCTTGGAATGTCCAATTGGCGCGACGTAGTGATACGAAGAAGCATCTGGCGCGCGGTTGTTAACTCGGCTATAATCGCGTAAACGGTGTCTACGCCAGTAAAGAAGAAGAAGTTTGTTCTGATTTAATCATACTCGTTGCAGCGCTCTGGTCTGCATCGTGTATATTAAGTTTACGAGAGTAGCGCGCCACAGAGCTCAGAATCGTGGTAGGATCATGGTTTTTAAAGGAGTCAAATTCGTTTCTGCTACTAGTCTATCTATCGGAGGACTTGTATCGGCGAAATTGAGTTCAATTTATTTGCGAGCTGGGCCATTTTTTATAAAAAAAATTTATCACTCGGTTGTCTCAATCGATTTTGTCTAACCAAAATTCTTGATCAAGATTGTATCACAATTGGCGAAAGCTATTTATTTTTTTTCAGTTATGTAGTAATACTCCGAAGTATGTGATAACAAAACATCAAATTTCGCGTCTTCTTGCTTGCGGGTTACAAATATTTCCGTTCACTTTCAATTTCGCCATTCCAGTCGTTTTAATTGCTAAACGTCAATCCTACCCGATCAAATATGGTAAATTGTCAAAGTCGGATATTGAAATTTGATAAAGGTATATCCGTAAAGCTTTATGAGTATATATAATTTAATAGAGTTGTCCCACTCGAACTCATGTATTTTGTATGTTTTTCCAATCCGTAAGGGTTTATAATAAATAAGTTTTTGCTATAGCATTACAACCATTTCTTCAGTGTTGATCGTTTTTTTAGAAAAGCATTTCAATTTCTAATCCAGGGACTTATCAGTTGATCTCGAACTTGTTAGAACGTATTTTTTATAAGAATATAAAACAATTGCATCGATGATGTTATAAATTCGTCTTCTTACTTACATAGATACCGCTTACGCGGTTATAGCGGAGTTTATAACAGCACCACGCCGGTTTTTATTTTGCAATATGGCGTCAATTGGAGATTCCAAGAGAAGCCAGGTCTTCTCCACCTCTACCTGGTCTTTTCAAAAGAGTGGAGGTCTTCTTCTTCCTCTGCTTCCCACGGCGGTTACTCGGTCGAATACTTTGAGAGCTGGAGCGTTTTCGTCCATTCGGACGACATGACCTAGGCAACTGAATTCGCTGATTTATTTCAATGTTGTCGTATATTTTCATAAATCTTACGCAGAATCTTTATCTCGAATACTCGTAACGTCGACTCAACAGATGTTGTCATCGTCCATGACTCTGCACCACATAGCAGGACGGGAATATTATTGAGTGACTTATCGAGTTTTGTTTTTGTTCGTCGAAAGAACACTTTACTTCCCAATTGCCTACTTAGTCCGAAGTAGCAAGAGATATCCTGACGGCGCTTTTTATGTTGCTCAACGTCATTTTACACAGCTGTATTAGTTTTACGGAGATACCCAACTTAGACATCGCGGCATAAAACCATTTTTTTTTCATGCTATTAAAAGCAGCTTTGAAATCGACGAAGAGGTGGTGCGTGTCGATTCTCTTTTCACGCGTCTTTTCCAAGATGTGACATATGGTGAATATCTGGTCAGTTTTTGATTTTCTATACACAAAGGCACACTGATATGGTCCAATTAATTTGACGGTGGGCTTTAATCTTTCACACAATACACTCGATGGAACCTTATATAAGATGTTGAGGAGCTTATCCCACGGCAGTTGGCGCTGATTGTGGGGTCTCGGTTTTTGAGGATTGAGCAAAGCATACTTAAATTCCAATTCTCAATTGCCTACTCAGAAGCCGAAATGACATCTATTGGCAAGAGTTATTTTTCGTTGGGCTTCGAGGCTGACGTTGTTGTTGGTGTTAATGCTGTTTCTTCCTTTTCATTGAATGCGTATTTACGTGGGGGGTCTCGAACCCAACGCACAACCCTAAAGAGAGATGGTTCATCTGCTTACTTTAGATCGCTTGAAAACGGATGTTTTTGGCGACCCAAAAGATACTTGGTCTAAGACCAAAAGTCGTGAGCTGCTTGAGCCATATGTAAATCATTTCTGGTCACTCTCAATTGAATGGCGATCAAACTTTACTCACTACAAATTGAACATATATTGTATATAAATATATTATATACATATATTATTTTGTTTTAAGAAAATTTGTATTATTATTCCAGCAAATCAGATATCAGCGAAAAAAATTCGGACCTGGATGCTGACTGGTAAGTATTTTTGATAACAACTAAAAATTTGTTAATAGATATAATTGATATTTTTATATTTATATAAAAACTTTTATTGATTTGGTTAGATTTTGTGTTTAAACGAATTGGATGTGGTCAACGTCTTAGTGAACCCTTAAAATAATGTCTCGAAACATGTTTCTACAGAATATAATGAGCAAGATCACGTCAAGTGGACCCCGCATTGTCCCCTTGAACATACAAATTAAGTCCATGAACATATTTTATAATAAAAAGTATCGCCAAACTTTTTAGTTAATAACTAAGTTTATTTTTATCAGTTATGCGTTGTAAGTTCATTYTTTAATCTATTAATTTATTTTATTTATTTATATTAAACAAATAAGCGGGGTAAAAGGGTGTATTGTTTTTTATATAAATAAAATTTTTGTCAGCTTGTACCAATACTTGAATCTTTTTCGGACTAATATTATAACACTTACAGTTATACATAAGAAAGTCAATTGGATTTTTGTGATGTTCTCAGAAGTTAGAATGGCTGATAACTTCGACACTCATTTCAATTTTTTTGGTGGTTCACTTCGCTCCAATAGTAATTTATTTATAATTTATTATCTATAGTATTATTCCGGTTATTGTTGTTGTTGTAGCGGCGAAAACATTACTGAAGGAATTTCAAGGAATGGTGTGTGCCGTGTGCGTTTCGGTTACTTAGATCCGACTGTAGTGAGTGAAAGTCAGTTCTTTGTCTTCTCTATTGATGTACATATATTTTTTCGCCAGATTCTGGCGATCAGAATCTCAGATAAATTGTTGTCTCACAAGAATTACACATGTAACATCCGATAAAATCTTTAAAAACTCAAGCTCGATTCGTTTTTTTCTAACTAAATTTTTAACAACGTATTTATGAGTATTATTTAATTTTTATATTTCATTACATTTTTATACTCTTTCAACATTGTTGCTGCACAAAACATGGTTTTGTTCACATTTTTATACTCTTTCAACATTGTTGCTGCCCAAAACATAGTTTTGTTCACATAGCGGTACTTTGTATCTTCTAAAACTAATCGAGATAGATATGAATATATAAAGTTCAGGACGATGTGACAATTTGAAATCCAAGGGACCGTCTGCCCATCTGTCCGTCTGTGCAAACTGTAACTTGCGTTTCGTTTCACTATGAGGAGAGGCAGAATCGAACTATTGCTACGCCTACAAAACGACATTAATCGATTATTGCTATACATATATCTCATTAATAGCTCATTAATTATGTTGAATATATTAAACTGATATCTTAGATGTGAAGAAGGTACTATTGAGACCAAGGGAGTCTGTGGCCTAAAAGTTAACAAGATATTAAACCATTGAATGTAGAAATCTTTCGCACTATTTTTATACCCTGAACAGGGTATATTTAATTTGTTGCGGTTACACACGATGGCTCCCAAAAAACGTCGGAGACTCTATAAAATATATATTATTTAAATGATCAGCGTGACGAGCCGATTAAGCCATTTAAAATATCGATCTAAATTTTTGCACATTTTTGCACAGATCGCAACTTCTTTAGAATCCTTATTTGTTTTTAAATGTACTATACATATTTCTTCATTATGTAAAGGCGAGCCTTAGTACTTATTAATTTTATCCTGAAATCTTTTCTAAATCTATCTATCTTAATTAAAATTTAAATTATTACTTAAAAGTTAAAAATATAAGTGTAAAATCGTACATATATGTACATATATAACAAGTAAGGAAGCGCTAAGTTCGGGTGTCACCGAACATTTTATACTCTCGCATGATAAAGTGATAATCGAGATTTCAGGCGTGGTTGTGAACCGATT